ACATTTAATTATAATCTATTAAGATTTCAAGGAGAAATTTAAGTATACATGACCTCAACCAGTGTCTAATTATAGAACTAATAAATTCTACTCAAAAGATTAACATGTGCATAATGAATCATGATCCAAACTAAACAATATACTTAATATGGCCGTCCTGAATACACACAAATACAGTATTTCGTAAATATTTCCAAAATTGTAAAAATATTTCAAAACATATACTTCCACAAAAAGTTGTTAATTGCACTTGAGAACAAAATCAAGTTATTAAAATGTCCACACAATAAATTGATTCTAACCATAAAAATGATTTAGGACACAATTTAAGAAATATAGTTAAAACCAAAATGATGACGTTAATTCTTTTATTTGTATAGAATGGTTGGAAGCGGTGTGAGTAATATAACCGCAAAAGGCACACATTACTATATTGGTTCTATGAAATGATAAGATTATTGTAACTCAAACGATTATGTCATATCAATGAGGGGTTACACTAGTTCTAATAATCCGTTGCTAACAGTATCTGAGTTTCTAAGTCATGCAAAAGAAACATGGTTGAAATTCAATCATGTTCAACAAGATAAAGGAACTTACTAGAAACATACTCAAAGACTATACAGTTAGTGATTAGCTAAACAGTAAATATGTACAGAATTCAATAATATTTGATGTCACGTCGACCAAACTCGGTGATATTTGTTCGATAACCCTAATGATTCAAGTCGTTAAGCTCACTGATAACGCACTTGTTATCAGCTATCTACAAGTTGCCGACCCTGTGATAAAGGTTCATACTATTATACAAGCCATTCTGGATCAAATTAGCTTTTGCACGGGGAGAATTTGGTTGCAAATTAATTTAAAATAAATAAATAAACCTATCTCTTGAATTGTCTTCAGAAGGTCCAATGCGTCAGCGTTATAAAGCCACAAAGAGCATTGACGTGTTAAGTTTCAAGATCATTACAATAATAATAATTTTATTGCAAATTAATTATCAGTTGTCGCCTGTACTGTGCAATTTCTATAACTGTAGAAACGTCTCCTTCAGAACATTTAACGATATCTCGGGTCTCATCGTCTATCGTATTTGTATCCTCAACATAAAGTTTACCATTTTTAAAGTCGGTTTTGTTTAAGAAAATTCATCGCGTGATATTTCAATGGTAATACAACTAATACACGTTTCATACGAATTAACCTATAAATGTCAACAACATAATATAATTCCTACCACCTCCATTCAAAGCGTATGATGATTTATTTACTAGTTTATGAACCGAATCATATACCGGTCAACAGAACTAGTTTTTAAATGATTTTGCCGAAGGAGACTAATACGGCCAGTATGGTAATGATTCATGTAAACGAGTTAGCTGTAATCTGTCTGCATTTAGAAGTATTAACTATCAGTCGTGAAATATTTACTGAACCAATAAAGCACGAAACAGACAGACTGTAAATAAGAAACACAGATATATTTGAACACATGGACGTGGCTAGAACACACTATAAAAATGGCGCCTGTATACCAAGAATCGTGTACAGTGTGCAAATTAATCGCAACATCATTGAGATAGGTACCTCCCCGTCGGTATGTCCCCTGTACCAGTCACAGATGTGAAACAAAAATAATTCACAGCTCCTTCACTGTATGTGCACGCATATATTTGCATTTTAAACGCACCAGTTGTGACACGAAGGCAAATTCTGCCAAGGCTGCCTCGTCACTGCACCGATACTAAATGATATAAACCCAACAAGGAGTGACGTAAGCGCGAACTTTCTATCTTCAGTGAAACTTTGAAATGTTAAAAGAAGATTCTAAATAAAAGAGACAAAATAAAAACAGTAACATGATAATCTCATACTTTTTTGACTTTATAAATGTCTTTAAAATATAATAATACGTTTTAAATAACTGGGCACGATGACCTGGTGACGCGAGTAATATACCATGCTGTATATAAACATGTACTCAAACTACAGTACTTACCAAAAGGGTATGATGGTGCAAGTTACTGTGCAGGGTCGTCCCCTGTGCCGCTCAATATCATTTCACTATATTACAACACACACACCACTAACGACACAGGCTATTTTGTAGTCAAAATAAGTTTACAGTCTACAAAATGTATGCACAAATAATTATTATCTAATTATTAACAAAGTTGTAAACTTTAACGGGGTTGCAACTTTCATCACACGCGATAACTGACGTCCGTTTTACGTCAATAGTTCCAATATTAATATGCGAAGCTAGGAAAAAATATTGAAAATTCACCCCCATTGTCTCAGTTCGTAATTACAAATTTCGAATAAATATCGTACAACAAAATAAAAGGAATGTTCTACATACATTACTTTGGTACGAACGTGTAATGTACAAACCCCTGATTTGCATACACAGCAACAAAGGACGAGCACCATCAGATAAGTTTTGGTAAAAAAATAAAAAAAACCAAAGGAGGTCTCCGAAACTTGTTTACGAAAGTCAGAGTCACGTTTTGCAAGTTTACTCGTACGCGGGGGATCTCTCAGAGAGGGGGGTACAGACAGGTTAGTGTTTATATGTAGCTTAGTAAGATATGTATGTTATGATGCGTCATTCAAGTACACATCACTCTTAAATTGACCAAAATTCGGGTCCCAGTTTTACAATAACAATTCTCCGAAGCAATTTTGTTGCGGCCGATACTTCAAAATGCATTATGGACAATAACAGTCAACGGTTAATATGCTTCGATTAAATGAAAAAATATATGTAATTCGATAGGGTATAAGATTACTACTTGTATACGCCTGGGTATGCTCATCAAAATTAAATCATCATTGCAATGATCCTCGCAGTGTTTTCACCGTACATTTGGTATCCATGCGTGTCACGTAGGGTCACACTCGATCCTTGGCCCAACTGATGCAGCGATACAACACAAGGCCGCCAGCCGGCCTCGTTCGTACGCAACGAGCATCCAAATTCGTATGAATCACATTTTTTATAGTTCATACCACGCTTTAACAAGGTTAATGATATAATACCCTTGCAGGCTTTTTCAAAATGACATCCTATTGTTGGAAGTTAAAGAAGAAAATGGCCTACAATGCCCGAGGAGTACAAAGTCTTTCTACATTGTACGGCAAATGAGTCCTCGTCCTTGCTAATGATGATAATATATTGCAAGTAGCAACAACTTCTAAAACGTAATGATTGTTATTCAACACGGCAACACGTTAGACAAATTGATACGATTAAGTGTTCATAATAATTATGCACCTGCACTTCCTGTTGCATGTACGAGGAAACTAGACATGATCATGTTCGAACCGACGAAATACTCAATACTATTTGAAAATATGAATAAGATATTACATAGAGGAGAAGACTTAGCTCGCGTTCTGATGAACAGTAAGTTACGATTTGATTATAAAAACGGAAAGTAAATTAGTAATAAACTTCAAACAACGATGTCGGAAGCGAAACAAATGATCAGTTATTATCAGCTAAGGTTCGGTGTGGCAATCGATCAGGATGTGGCATTGTGACCCAATGACAGTCCGCCGTTGATGAGAAAAAACGCAATTATAACAGATGAGTTGAAGAAAAAAACGACTTCGGACACGCTACGCCAATGCCACGGCTGTCGCCTCACAGTTTTATGAACAACTATAGAATAGATGCTAACACGTAATTCCCTTTGCGATATCGAATCGTTCAGTCATTTGCATTCGACCTAGACTCTCAATGTTAAACGATGTTAAATACAAAAGGAAAGTTATAAATAGGAACTTGTTGATTAAATCCATTGATCGGAGTCGATGAACCAGTTGTACATTGCTCATACATTAGACATTAACATCTGATAAAATGATATTTAGGTAATGAATTAGAAGTGACAAGTTTATTAATGACGTATTAATTACTGAGTGAGGAGTACAAAGAGATAAAGATTACAAAGTAGGATCAAATGTTAATGTGGTTATAGCTGGAGCAAATGATGAAAGCCATTACAATAAACGGTTGGGCACATTGAGCAGTTAATCATAGCTCACGACGCATTGTGCAGCGGAGACACTAGACTAGTAGGATCAGTGCGCGACTATATTTGTATTTGATCTCACATCGGCTCGCGTCGGTATTGTCCGTCCGCTGGCTCCTCGTCACGTTCGCTAACTATGCCGATAATGACTGCAACAAGATATCCTTGACTCTGCACACAATTATCTGGACACTTTGCATCAGAACTTGACACGGTTGCTTATACACATACTGTATGCTACAACAACTATACTAGTCTAACCAATAAAGGCTGAGAATCCATTTAATGAGCATTAAATTATATGACGAGATGTGTTATTATCGTTTCCAGTTGAACTTGACTTGATTATAATTGTTTATTCATCGGTGTTATATAAGTGCAGTGCTGGATAAAAATAATATAATAAATATTAAGCAAATAATATGGCTCTGTATTGCACTGACTTTGAGAATGCATTTTGGACCTTGATGCTAAAAGTCTAAGGTGTATACTAATTTAGTTAGTTGAATGGGGCTCACGTACTGACAAAGGTTACTCGTCTCCATAGTCATACTTCCGAGGAGTGTGATGTGCAGTCGGAACAAAGAGGGTGTCGTGATCTGGCTTACAAATATAAATATTTTACTCTTTCAAGTTGAGCTGTGAATCACTGTAGCCAACACTGAATATGATATTTTATTTAATAATCGCATTTCCAAGGAATTACTTGTCGTACTATATGACAAAGCGACCTTATAGATGAAGCATCATAAAAGTGCAATAAACCTTCAAAACTAGATTTAGAACATAAAAGTGTCTGTGCTCTATCGTTTTACGGTCTATTATATGTTTGCAAACATATAGATCTCACACAATAACACGGAGCACGTGTCTGGTGCCAACGTTGTAAATGCATAATTCACAGCGCATTTTGTTAACATATATAAGATTAGACTAACAAAGCGTTTTACATTACAGGTTCGTGAAGCCAGACGAGGTGGCGAAACTGTGGGGCCACATGAAGCAGAACGAGAACATGACGTTCGAGAAGTTCAGCCGAGCCATGAGGTACCACTACCGGCAGATGGTGCTGGTGTCCGTGCCCACGGCGCGCCTCGTCTACCAGTTCGGCCACAAGGGACCCGACTTCAAGACCGACAACCCCAACTTTGTCAAAGTGAAATCAGAAAATGTTACCGATATGTCTTATTCTTAGTTTAAATTAAGAAAGTATTAGGCTAAAATTTGTTAAAAGTCGATGCTCAGAGTAAGATAAACAGTGATATGATGATGGTTACGTATAGTATCTAGAGTCTTGTCCTTGGAGGTTTAGGAGGAATACGAAATACAGTAATTAGGTAAGTTTGAGCAGACGAGTTGAGATGATAGCTGGCCACAGTTTGATGGCAGTAACAGCAGGAAATGTTTGTTAATGTGTGTCTATTCAATAATAATGTCAATTGATTTTTGCAAAAAGTCATCGTTCCACCCAAGGGCATTATTGAAATGAATAGTTATAATCAGGTTATTTGGATGAAGTGGATCACCTCCAAGCTTGGATGGTCATTAGATTGTCTTGGAACACTCTAACGACTATTATTTAAGTTCAACTTTACTTCAAGTTGACAACATGGTTGACGTACCGAGCCATAATGGCCGCGTACGGTTGTTGTTGAGATCAAGGGCTGAAATATTTAAATTAGATTTTAGTCATGATCGTGTTCTTTATACGTAATTTTTCTTATGATATCTTTGTATTAATAAATACGTAATGTTTAACAAATGTTTTAATGTTATAGTCTAAATATTGCTAGCAAAGGTCGAGCTCGGTTTGCCACTTGGAGGTGGTCTCGAAGTTAAGTGTTTTGAAAGTTATATGAATGTACTTTAGCTAAGATAGGCTCAATGTTTGAATCGAAATAGTTTCAATGGTTGTACTCGTGGATGTTGGATCAATTACTTGTTGGGTATACTGTGTGTTGGTTGGATACCGATCGGTTGGATTGTGCCGTCAATTAACTCGTACCGACGACGTGTCGGTATGTCCATATTATTTTTTTAAGTAATTTTATTCGTATTTTATTCTCGATGTACGTTTGTACTGTCGAACAAAAATTTTGATGGTTGTTTATGTAGGAACATTACGAATTTTTGATAAAGTATTTTTAATTGTTGTTACCGTATGATACGTGTGTGTAATACGTAGAGTGTTATGATATTGCGAACATTCCAATTAATTTATAAATAGTTCTAAGTTGTTTAGTGTCCACTTACTTCATAGTAAACTTAAGCATATTTCAAGTTGCCATAATTATGTATTTGTATACGTAAAACGACAATGTACTTAATTTCATAGTTTCTTTGAATTCATGTCATTTTCAAACTTTAATATTTCATCGTAAGATTCATCTCTAATTGTAATTTAAATAAATTTTATACTGTTATTTAAAATTCCCGTCTCAGTGTTAGTTTAAAATTAAAAATCTTAAGATTAAAAAAGCGCGTTCGTGCAAATAAAAATAAAATGACAAAAAGATCTGCAGGCCAAAGATTAGTTTTGATGGAAAAGATTTTTTAATTTAAGATTTTAAAAGTAAAAGTATCATGTTTTGACAATTTAATTTTAATATTTTCTAGTATTTAAGTTTGCGACTCTCAGGCACACGCTGTGATGTAAGATAAATTGAAACATTGTTTTTCTGTAAATAGTTCCTTTCAGCCGTCACCTAACTATCCAATACCGCAATGTTATGTACATAGCCATATATTTTACCTATGTATACACAGATATATAGTAATATATTAACTTCATTCTTCAACCAAAACTAATATATTTATTAAAGTAACAAATAATATAGTAATTTATAAAATAAGATTGATTTTACCATAATTATATTTATTTACGTATCTTAATATAAAGTGACAGTACAAAGCCTGTGTCTTAACAGAACAACGATTTTAACTCTCTTCACAATAGTATTTAGGTTCATTTTGAAATGTATTAAGATCTAAGTTATGGCTAGTCTGTTGTAGTGGAACTTGATACTTTACATAATATTAATGTGGAACTACTTTGGGGAACAATGTACTATCGGCAAAGATTATGGTAGTACACTTTTAAACAAAATCCTGTGGAAAACTTGCTATCCACAGCGCGTTTTTCCTTTGGTCGCTTTGAGTGCATGCGAATATCACCTAATGATAGTTGACCGCTAACTTTGTCGATTGTACTACTCATGTTACATAATATTATATGTATTCAATAGTTATAGGCATATTATTTAATCTATTGGTTTGATTTAGTTCTTTATTATTTTCAAAGATGTTTTAATGAGCATCGCATTTAAGTACAATAGTTTAAAAGCATTTACTTGTAGCCAGTCCACAATATATATAATTACGTTTATGTAATATATTGTAGTTTTCTCTACATAAGATATGTCGGCCATGTCATATTCTCAAAGTATTCCATTTTTAATAGTTTGTAAGTTACAAAGGTGCATAATTCCAGTTATTAAGTATTTATAGGCGTTAAACAATTTTGTTTCGTATTATGTTCATGATAAGATTACATTTTCTTTATTTCTTAGTAAACTGTAGATGTATAATTATTGTGCAATTGATGAAAAGACAGATTTTATGTATTATTTCGTAATAGTTATGTGAAAATAAGAAGAGAAATATACGATTTATGAATGTGAAATAATACCATTGTTTTAATACAAACCCATACTTTACAGAGGATGATAATTACGCATACATTCGACAAAAACAATAATTTATTGTTCTAGTCATAAGACTTATGGATAAAGACCTCATGAAGTACTAATTAGTTTAGTAGATGCTTAAAATTATACTTCATATTCCAGTGTATTCTATTCACTAGAAGAAAAAGATTTTGCAAGCATCAAAATGATCCCAAAAATTTCTAATTTCTTTATTAACACGTTAACACCGGTGACCAATGTTAACGGAGGTATTTCTCCACTTTTAAAGGGTTTAATAGTTTTCTATTGGCAATCAAAGCTTTACTGAACTTTGCCTCCATGAAAAATAATCCCCCTCTCATGCCTTCAGACGAAAATTAACAGAATAATTAGCAGAAAATGCTGAAAAAAGCCCACTGATAACAAAACTAAATATATCCAGCATTAATTAACGAGAACTTCCTCTTAGTTTTGTAGGAGTAACATCAGGCAACGGGGGCTTATCCATGGCATATATATATAAATATATAAACACATATATAACATACATTTTAATTGGATTAATTGTTGTTACAATACCCGTAGGTGTTTAATTAAAACTTATATATAATATATATATTGTATATTGTGGGCAAAATAATTGTTTTTGGGAATTTCTGTAACCGCAGTGACAAACGGTCGGACGTCAATTACATAGCTGTGGTATTCCAGCGCTCATTTCTTCCTTGTAAGGCCGGTGCCGTGTACCTATACAGTTGGTGCCCTGAAATATTATGAGCTGTTCAATGTAACATGGACATTCATGGTTATTTTGTTATTGAGGAAATTTCACCAGGTAAAGCTTCGTATTATAACTTTCGTGAGACATACTAAATACATTATAATGTTTTCGGCTTACTTACGTAATTATTTGACGAGGATCATGAATATGGGTCTCTAGCATGGATTGAAACTAGTCGAGTTCCTCGTCAAATAATTACGTGAGCAAGCCGAAAACATAATAAGGTAAAGCTTTCTTATGGAGGCATGTTGTTAGTATTCAACCTACAAGTTTGTAATTAAATGGATGGGAGCTAAGTACCACATTAGTGATTAAGGTCACACTAGCTCTTTTTTTAAACGACTTCATAAAAGAACTAGGTTCTCATTTCGATATGCATGTATAGGTATGTGTATGTCTGTGCGCGAACATCTCGCTATTAGCTAAACCGATTTTAATGCAAAAGTTTTTTAGTTGCGGATTCAGAAAAGTGTTTGTTACGGTTAAGAGAAATTTTTAGTAAAGTAATTAATCGACCTTCAAAAAAGAGGGGGTTGAAGTCGGTCTTTAAAAACGTAGTTTAATAAAAGAATTATTTGTACGGGGAAAATCATTCCATGATATCTCCTGCGTTGGCTTCTATAGTCGAAGATGACCCAGTGATGAATATAAATATTTTTCGATTCCGCTCTTCTTCATCGTTACACGAGTCAAGCTCTTGAACTTACACGAGCTTGAACCTTTCTAGTCCTTGAATAATTCCAGGCAATATTTTATAATCAGATCAGGACTTTCCTTGTTTTAAAATATTATTCGGAACGCTAGGACTTTAATCCATTTAGATAAGTGTCCTATTATACAATATTATACTGGTGATGAGATAACATTAGTTAAAGGAATAATTATATTATCTAACCATTATAAAAGAGTGCTAAGGATTGTATATGCATTGCGTGTGGTACCTATCTATGCCTCTACCGGGTTGGGCTCGCTGCCATTGCAGCGGTAAGACCCCTCTTTGAGGAGTGGCTTGAGAGACGCTACGGCGTCCTCACCTACCGCCTGACGCAGGTCCTCACCTGACATGGAAGTTTCGGGAGGTACCTGTGTCTGATGGGGCGGGAGGAAACGCCCGGGTGTCATCACTGCGAGGATCGCCCTGAGGACACGGTGGAACACACCGTAGCGGAATGCCCTGCGTGGGCTGAGCACCGCCGTGCCCTCAGGGAAGTGATCGGCGATGGCGACCTCTCGCGTCCGGGCCTAGTGCAGGCCATGATGCGGAGCGAGGGGGACTGGGATGCCGTCTCCTCCTTTTGCGAAGCAGTCATGCTAGCTAAGGAGGAGGCGGGACGCGTGAGGCAGCGAAGCGCTGCCTCCTCGCAACCCAGCCATCGCAAAGGACACACCGGGCGTCGGGGATCGCGGGACGATCTTCGGCCACCGTAAGCGCGGGCCTGCGGTGGCTCCCCGTCCGACCAGAAACAGACCCGAGCGTACGGCGCGTCGCGTTCCGCGCGCGCCTCAAAGAGCCATCAGACCACCACAGATGGGGCCCAATAGGGCCGATGCCGATTCGCAGTCGCGGAGAACCTAACGGGTAACCGGGGCTCCGGCTCGACGTGTAGGAGAAGGAACGGGGTGGTTTTTAGTCAGTAAGAGTCTGACACTCCCTTCCGCCTCATCCAGGCGGGAGCAGTCATTCGATGATTTTCCCCCCTTAAAAAAAAAAATGCCTCTACCGGGTACCTATTATAAATGTCTCGCTAAAGTAAATGCTTACCATCAGATGGAGTATTCACTTTTATGATAGTTTGGTGGTTGGTATCATTTTTTATGGGATAAGCCGGTAACGAGCACTTGTATCACCTGATGGTAAGCAATCGCCGTCGCCCATGGACACACAAAACACTCTGTTACAAGTGCGTTGCTGGCCTTTCGGGAATTAGGCCTTTGAACAACACGTTGGGATTCGAGGATTGGGTCTCCCCAATGAAAGCTTTTACGATTACCCCCTTCTTAAGAGATTAAGACTTCCAATTAAAAATTATTAACTCGAAAGTATACTTACTTAGGTAGCCAACTCGTTTTCTATAATAACAATTCAAGTAAGTAATAATTTGTTAAGTTTTATCAAGTGATTCTGAATAGTTTATGATCTGAAACTAAACCAGGCAGCACTTACGTCAAAGCACCATTTTACTGTGGGAAGATGTTTTGGAAACAATTTTCGTCTCGTACATGCAAAGGATTTTTATAATGACCTTTCCACGTGTAGCCGTACCCGCCGTAGGCCGCGCGTAGATACGCCTACGTCTTATAAATTACTTGCGATTGCAAGAAAATAATTAAATCAAAAGATCAGAGAGTAAAAGGAGAACTGTTCTAAATATATTGCTCGAAACTAGTTCTTTACGCTTGTTATTATTTGAATGGTAAGCAGTGGGGTAAAATAACTTCTTCAGGTTATAACTTAAACCAAGGAAATAAAAATAAGTAGTTTGTATAATTAATAATTTGAATAATTAAATGTAGTTTTAAGTCATAACATTTAATTAATAATGACTATCATAATAAATTTAAAAGTATGATAGAATCTTTATACTATGGATGGCTGTTGGTTTTTCAAGTGTTAAATAAATGCTATTAGCAAAAGTAGCGCCATCTGTTGAGTAATAGAAGTAATAATGTATGGTTAGGTAAGTTAGGTTACTGGTTGGTTGTGCTACTGTATAACAGATGTCGCTTACGTTAAACAAAAGTTGGTTCTTACGTAACTGTGTAGATGGCATTGGATATAATTTAAACAACTTCAATGAGACTAGTAGAAACAAGATTAAGTTTTTATCTGTTAGATTTAAAAATAGTAGATTGTATATTTGTATTGAACACTTTACAATATCTTTTTGATTACTTCTTTAGTAAATTAATACTTTGGGTCATTTATCACATAGGTAAGTAATCTAAATATATAAAAATGAAACCCGTTTTCCGTTGTCACGCCATAACAGTTTTTTGTTGTTGTTTTTGTTATTGTCAGGATTTTTTTGTTGTTGTTATTGTCAAGGTTCTTATGACAGAAAAAATCCTGAAAATCCTACGGGAACGGGAGAAAACGGGATTGTGCATACGAAATCGCGGGCAAAAGCCAGTGATAATATAAATGTACACAAACATATTGAATATTTATTAAAATAATAATATAAAACTTACGAACATTATTAGATATTTACATTCCTTAAAGATTAATTTTGAAAAATTATAATATTATTAGGTGCGAACAGACAATCGAACCCAGGCACCTCCAAAGAGTAGCATTTCGAATCCATTCTTGCTCAACCGCGCAGGGATGCAGGTTTTATCACAAGTGGTCAGCTTCAGGTCACGGAGCAGCAGGTACAGCATTACTTTCACCTCACACAAGGCAAAACGAGATCCTAAATGAGAGAAAATAAAAATAAAGTAACAAGATAATAATTAAACAACGGCGTTAAAAAACAGACGGATATAGTCTTACACGCAAAATACACATACATCGGTAGGCGTACTTTATCGTCTGGACATCTGCCACATCATCGCTTACCACCAGGCGAGATGGTGGCCAAACTACAATCTATCAAGTATAAAAAAGCACAGACATTATGCCCGCCTTCTTTTTCAAAGTCCTTGTAATTAGGTATAGTTAAATGTCACGACAAATCACAATGATTTCGAGTTCATATAATATTGCAATTGGTTGTTACATCAGAAGTAATGAACCTTTTGCAAGAAACAACTTATAATAATATGTCTATAATAATGCATTTAACGATAATAATTGAATACAGTGCAAAATGCTATGAGGAAACTTCATTCCAAATTCGTTTTTGACTGTAACAGTTCATATCAAATTGATAAGCGAAACAATATAAACCCCAAACTTACCAATACAATTCCTAGGACCCAACCCGAACGGTAAATAAGTAAACGGGACGATTTTGTCCCGGTTTTCATGCGAGAACCGTTCCGGGTCGAACTTTGAAGGGTTTGGGAAGTATTCAGGATTGCGATGGAGAGTATACGCCGGGATCACCACACACTGCCCCTTGCGAATCTGCCAAAGGAAATAAGAACTTAAAACCATCTGAATAGAACACAAGATGCCATAAACTGTCAGTAAAATAAGTTTATAGAAAGAAAACGAAAATTAAAATTGATTTATTCAAAGAAATTCACGACTTAAAACAATGAAAACAGAATACAATATACCGTAAAATGTTGGTTAAAAAACAAATGATTTACTATTCAATTAGATGTTGTTTTGTTGCCAACCAATGGGAACTAAGTCAAGGGTTGAATTACCCACTAAGAGAGACCTTGGTACCACGTACTAATAGATCGACCTTTAGTATAGAAATCGGTTAAAATTCATATTGATAAATCTAATTAGTCATCTTTTTTTATAAAATGGTCAACAAATATTAGCATCTTTTTTAAGGGGGGATAATCATCGAATGTCTGCTCCCGCCTAGGTGAGGCGGGAGGGAGTGTCAGACTCTTATTGACTAAAAACCACCCCGTTCCTTCTGCACGTCGAGCCGGAACCCCGGTAACCCGTCAGGTTCTCCGCGACAGCAAATATTAGCATAACTCACTTTTGACATTCACTAATATGGGGAGGCACTAATATGACTCCTAAATAAAAATGGGGAGGATCGATTGTTGCTTGACAAGTCCAATTCTAGAATCAGCGCTTTTACTTCACTTATATACGAAAATGGATAATACAATATAAATACATCATACCGAAGGATAAACGTGACAACAATTATGTAGTTTATTATTTATGAGTCAGGTAGACAGGCTATTTATAGCATCAACGACTGATAATGATTTATAGCCCCACAGAACACAATAAGTATAGTATATACCACTTAAAACGACAACATAAGACTACATAAATATTTACAACTTAAAATTAACTACAACTATACAAATTATTATGTTTTCGGTTTACTCATGTAATTATTTCAGTAGCAGCGCGACAGTTGCCGCGTCTCGGGTCGCGAAATGCTGCTCATGAATATGAGCCTCTAGTATGGCTTGAAACTAGTCGAGTTCCTCATCAAATAATTACGTGAGTAAGCCGAAAACATAAAAATTTATTTAGTATGTCTCACGAAAGTTTATATACAAATATAACTACAACTAAAATATTAAATAAAACGAAAGTAAAAAAAAGCAAAACAACAAAAAAAATACCCTCAATTTAGGCGTCAAAGTTTTCGTCCGCACCACTATCACATGGGAAGGTTCCCAGAAGACCGTCAGCATTGCCACGTTGAATGGCAATGCTTATTTTTCTTCCAAAAAATATAGCCAGCCCTCTGGTCACGTGTAGAGTCGATTAGCCTACGGGCGATATCTTAAAGACAGTGTGTGCACTGGGACCCCATGGTCTAAGTGTTTCGACCCCAAACGGCTCAAAACAGTAGTTACTCACTAGATTTCAATATTTACGCCGTTTGAGGGCCTCTGCCGCGGAGGCGGCCGTGCCAGCGCCTGCAGCGGTGGTTTATACGAATATTTCGCAATTAGTTGCCTTGAATAATTATGCTATAGATACTACATGCTGATATCGAACCTAAAAAGTTGTCTGTATATAATCTCGAGTACTTTTCTAACTTATAGGACATTAAATACACAGGGCCTTCTGAATCAATCTTAACATACTTCAGACTTTGTTGTTCTTCTTTGCTCGGCCCTTAGTTTTTTACAAGAATCTAGTATATGTAATGAAGTGATCTCATACTTACGATTAAATCCTTTGTAGCTTCTTTGTTGGGTTTCCCAATGTTGTAGTCGTTCACACATATTCTGTCCATGAAGGGAGCCGGCGGCCATAGTCTCATACCCTCTGGAAACAATCAGGAGTTCTTATTATAAACATAACACTAACCTTTATTCAGTATTGAGATTTTTTTTAAACTGTTAAGACAATAATAATGTGTCCAACTCACGACAAGGGAGTCAAGTATTAGATACATGTTTTATCAATTTGAATGATGCTGGTGGTGGCGAGGAACTTTTTAATTAAGAATGGGGATGATGACAGGGTATGAAAATTAAAAATATAATTAGTCCGTAAGTTAGGTAATGAAAAAATATTAGACACGTATTTTTTTATTTTGTCGTATAATAAAACAATACTTAGATAAAACGAATCAAAGTTTAGGAGTGGGGGCTAAAACGTCATTCCTTAGTATAAAATGTACTGAGAAGTCACGTCACGCGACATTTCAAATCAATATATCTTCGAAACTATTCGTTTCTGTGAGAAAATAAAAAATACGTGTCTAATGTTTTTAAATAATCTATCAGACGGACATTAAAATAAAAATTAGTCGTCTACCCCATTATAATCGAAGTCAATTAGCTCCAGATAATGAAAACAAAATAAACAAAAATAACTTTTTTAATGATGTGAGCATTGAAAATGGCGCCGTTTATCCGGAGAGTTTAAAAGAAACTTTAATGGTGATGATATCACACTTCAAATTGCCAACCTTTATCTAATCAAAGTATTCAAATATGCTAAATTTTAAATAACCCATAGGAAAATTAGAATAGTAGTTACTATAAAATAAATAAAACGCTGTTATAATCAATATAGCAAAAAATATATCCATTATCATCTTACCTGACACCACCATATCTAAATAAGTCATGCTCTGTATACTGTTGTAGTCAATCTTTCCGTTGTTCTTGGCGTCATACTCCCTGATCTCCTGCACCAGCCGGTCCTGCACGTCAGGGTTCATTGCCAGCTCGTACAGTATGAACGACATCGCTGTGGAAATTGTGTCGAAGCCAGCGAAGAGGAATAATGCTGCTTGGGCTACTAGGTCTGTATCGGTCCATTCTGCAAGATATAGTTGAATATGATCAGTATTATAATATAAGCCATTCTGTAAGTGCCCTTAAGTTTTGTACGCGCAATATATACATTTGAAAGTTTTTAATGACAAGGTCTTCTGTGTTTCATACTATACCATTTAGTTAATGTTTGCTAAAGTTTCAATGACCTACCATAATTATGCTGTTTCTTTCCAACGTGTGACTCTTCAACGGTTGCAAACCCAGCATCAGCGTCTTTACCTTCTTTCTCGTGTGTAAGTTGTCCTGTAAATGATTAAACATCAGTTTAATTATGAGCAACGTTGTATTAGAATACTTGTTACTACAAAACCAGTCTAATCACTTAACAGCATGCGACACACATACGCTGTTAAGAATATTGCTCCAAACTAGCACACTCATTTTAGGCATGTTTACGAAATGACTGGCGTGCGATTTTTAAATATTTTGAGCGTGCTCAATATAACACCTTTTAACCGGCTATTTTAGTGCATATGTGATTTTAACTTTATTATATGTTTTAGCGTATATACCTTTCTTTACTTCCATCAGGATGTTGATCATATCATTCCGAACAATCTTGTTCTTCTCCCTGTCCTTCATTGTACCAAGGACTACGTTTGTGAAGTAGTCCGTTGTCTCCTGTGACACCAGCGATAGTTGCATCATCTGAAATGGTAGGAAAATGAGTGTTTAGCTAGTGGATTACCTAGTTGTACTATTATTAATATAGCTGACCGGACCGGGGTCGAGAGTGGTCCGGTCCAGGACCAAATAGCTTTACGTACTGCTCTTTTCAATTTTCCTATTGTAAACCTTTGTGTTCCCAAGGAAATTGCACGGCACAAAGAATTTTACATTACGTTACATTCCAACAGTAGCTTTAGTTATAAAAAATCCAAAAACTAACGGTTTTTGCTCTAAGGAGTCAAAATTATGATGAAAAGAAGATCGAATCAAAGTAAAAAATGGAGTTCAAACACTTCTTACCCCGGCTACGGAAGGTAGAAGCCTGTAGAACATAAACTTCATGAACCTCCAAAAAGTAAACTTGGTGATTGACTTGCTGTGCACGTAGAACTCACTGTCTGTTGTCAGAGATTCCACTTTCAGGCCGAAAGCACAGGAGGCAATCACGTCATTCGCGTATCTCGTCATCACTTCTTTACACTCCATGTCGTAGTAAGAAGCTGTAAAACAGAATTGAATAATAGGTATAAGTAAAGATAATGAATGCTTCAAATAATAAATGCATTTTAGTATTTGTTACACTTACTTCCAGAATCTTTGATCCTCTGTTTGAGTACTTTGACCATCTCCAAGCAAACCTCTTCCATGAATGGAACCATCAGCCGGATCTTGGAGCTGGTGAAGGCTGGACTCATTGTAGATCGCATTGCCTTCCATTCGTCACCTGAAAAATTAAACAACTTAACTTCGTTACAAGGTTTTTAATTATTGAAGGGTTTTTTTAAGCGTGGAAGATCGTTAAATGACTGCTCCTGCCTGGGTGAGGCAGGAGGGAGTGTCAGACTCTTACTGACTAAAAACCACCCCGTTCCTTCTCCTGCGCTTCGAGCCGGAGCCCCGGTTACCCGTTAAGTTCTCCGCGACATTATTGAAGGGGTAGGGAGAAGTAAAGGTAATAGATTTCAAGTCATGTATAGGGAGAGAGGGTACTTGTTTCGCAATAGGAACAGTATTTTTTCCAATAATATTTTGATCAAAGTAGGAAACAAGCTCGAGACCGTCGATTTGCTCAGAGACTCGAGACTCGACTGCGAGACTCATGCTGTCAAAATATAATGGAATAAAATTAAACTTTCTTATTCAAAGTAAACATATTGACTAGAGTTTAAACGTGGGTACTTCTATTAAAATTACGACAATACATGTCAATATAATGGTCGTCACGTACATTTTTAACATTTTCTATTCCTGTAAAATTATTTTTATCTGTGAATTTTTCTCGTGACGTTCATAAACGGAAACTGTAGACACTTTGACGTCATGAATATTGTAACTAGTGGCCAGTTAGGCAGACTGTTCGTTATGCATAAACGACATGTTGAAACATGTCCAAATGTATACAATCATAACTTCGCGCTGGTAGTTAATACATACGTTAAAAAAAGGTAATGAGTCGGAGCACGAAATAAGTACAGATTAAACTATGTCACATAATTACTTTTTGTTCCATTGAGTATGACAAGATGTTAGATATTTTTCAGTTTTCTAATTACAGAGTTCTCCAGAAACTAGAGTTATACAGTTTCACCAAAAGGTTCAAGGTTCACTTACCGTGCAGAAGCAGCAGACCTCTACCAAACATAGGATCCAACTCAGTGGTGAAGCTGCGACGGTCTATGAAGTGCTCAAAATCTTTGACTGTGATACGCTTCAACATCTCCAGATCTCGAATGATCAGTATAGGAGTCATCATGTCGTAGTTTCCTACTATCCTGGAATCAGTCAATCACTCGTAAGAACATGAGCTAACAATTAATATAGAGGTGGCAAGGTTGCGGTTTAAAGTTTGGGTAAGAAATAGTAAGTCATAGGTACTTTAATTACAAGGTTCAAAATCTACTAGTTATAAACTGAACAATCCGACTCTGTTATATTGATAGCATTCAATTTTATTAGGTTAGGTAATTCCTGAGAATCTGAAGGAATGAAGTACGCAAATTAAATACTTACTTGTCATCTGGGAAAGCATTAGTAATCTTCATTATGAGATCAACAAAGTGCTCTTTCTGGAACATAACCCAGAAGATGTTGCCGAAGAATGGGACGGTTGGCAGATGGTTGATGCCTTCGCGGCGTAGGGAGCCGTAGGCTTGGCGAAGGTACAGCACTACGGCTGTGACGATCACCACTATCCACGTCAGTAGCAGCAGCATGGCTGGAAAGCAAAAGGAATTGCATGAGCTTAAAGGTTCCAAAATCAAAATAGAAGACAAAAAAATCATCAATAGATGTTCGACTTTGTTACAAAGCATTGAATTGGCAATGTAACTAAGATATTTGACCGGTAATGGTAGCGTCTTGTGTTGGCCTTAAATGTAAACAACTATAATATTATGACCATGAAATTGAACATGGCCATGGATTAGTGAATATATAATATAGTCATATATATTTCCGAGATTGAGGATTTATCACATGGGATTCCACATTAGTAATATATTTTTTTTAAATGGTATTATTTCTATGTAAGTTCTGGGATTTCATGAAGAATTCAAAAATGTGTGTGGAGTAAATGATACGGATGGATAAAAATAATAATGCATAGTTAAGATAATTAGGGTTCAAATTGCAGCGATCTATTCATTGTTAGTAAACAAATTATATAGAAGAAAAAACCTGATTGCCGGTAACAAAGGCGAACACAAGTGGACAACAACACTACGTAACACAGACTAGCACATATGTACTGTTTGTAACCAGTGACAAATATAATATAAAATAATGTATTTAAAATTAAACAAAAGAACTTTTGTCAACATTTAAAAGATAAAATGTATCAAAAAGTACTTGTTAAATGAAGCTACCAAGAAACTAGATAAAATAAAATAAATAAAAGTAATGATAAAATAACAATAAATGACGTCATAGATGTGATAACAATATTATGGAGACATGAACGGACGTTATAATTTATTGAATAATAAAACTTATAACACACATCTTACCTTATAAAATCGCAGAGCAAAATGTTTACGAAAGGAACAACCGGCGTCCGTGCCAGTACCTCGAGACTGACTTGTGTGTGGCGCATCAATTGTAATTATACAATAAATATTTGTATACTAGTATATTTTGATTACACAAGTTATTAGTACTTTTGCACTTTGTACTATTAAAAGTTCATACGTATAGAAATTTGTGTATAATCATTTTGGTGTATAATGTGTGGTAACTAGCCTAACTTTTAACCTTTAACTCTAGTTTAAATACAGAAACAGGACATACAAATGTATTATTTTATTGTATAGTTCGCTTTACTGCGTTGTCTCAAAGCAATTTAGGTTCACAAAGACGAATGCACTTGTTAGGCTCCAATTGAATCCAGGACTCCCCTTTATCCTTTGTAACGTTTATTTTAGTAGTTGAGATGATTGAAAGATACAATAACAGGATGTTTTTACTGTAGTTGTAGTTCTATGAACTTTGGTCTATCATAAAATTGCTAAAGGTGGACAGATAGTACGATCCTTTAAATTTTATTTGACTAATGTTTTAGAAACCTATAAGGGGTCTCTTTTTAAGGCTGAGTCCTTCAGACTGATAATGCACTACATATGTTTTGTAAGCTTTATTTGTAAAGTAAGCTTTACGTGAGGGCAAGACAAATCTTGCCTCAATAGTTCTTTTAGGAAATGTTGCATTAGACTGTTAGACATCATTTCTGACTAATATACAGGAGAGTTTAACCAAAATTTTACAGTTTTTTTAGCTTATATAAGTTTTAAAAATAGTGATTACAAAGATTTTACACTATCAACTACATTACGTCATCACACCCAAATATAAACCAAAAATTGTTGAAAGCACAAAAAGATTTTTTTACTGGTAGTGAGCCGCAATATATATATTACGATATACGCAGCAACCGGTTGCTCAGCCAATGCACTCAATGACGAGAAGGTCAACATGGTGGTGTCACCTCTGGTGTATCAGGTTTACTTAGCCTAAGGTGACTGCTTGCCATCCAACAGACGTCCCATAAGTTTTGTTACTACTGCCTGTGGTATTGAGTTAAGCAAGGTACTTTAGTCGCGGAGAACCTAACGGGTAACCGGGGCTCCGGCTCGACGTGCAGGAGAAGGAACAGGGTGGTTTTTAGTCAGTAAGAGTCTGACACTCCCTTCCGCCTCACCCAGGCGGGAGCAGTCATTCGATGATTTTCCCCCCTTAAAAAAAAAGCAAGGTACTTTCAAAAATCAACGTATGCCTTCTCCCACCTGCAGCAAGGGATATTACATTTAATAGTATAGGGCTCATGGCTCCGGGTAAAGATATTGAGATTTTCTTAGTTAAGTAGGTACATAATTACACATCCTACGGTACGGGGCAAGGGGACTGGGATGCGGTCTCCTCCTTCTGCGAAGCAGTCATGCTAGTTAAAGAGGAGGCGGAGCGCTTAAGGGATCAAACCACCTATAGGGCTGATGCCAATATGGAGCCGCAGAGAACTTAACAGGTTACCGGGGCTATGCCTGGCTCGAAGTGCAGGAGTAGGAACGGGGTGGTTTTTAGTCAGTAAGAGTCTAATACTCCCTCTCGCCTCACCTGGGCGGGAGAAGTCACAGGATGATTTCCCAGTCTCAAAAAAGGCCACTTTTATCCCACGGGAACGCGGGTGCCACGGCTAGCAGATACTAGTAGTTGTATATATAATAAAAGGCTCACCCAGTATTTCACGGGATTCGCAACATACATAAATAGTGAAATGAGGACCGCATGGTATTGTTTATGTCTCCTCTACTTCAATGGATCAAAACCCTGACATTACTATTAATTTTACCATTTAACACGTCTAAAATATTGAAATATTATTCTATACCTAATACCTGATAAAGTAATTAACACTACTATCGGACATGTTAAGTGCACTCGACCGATGACTAAGATTACACACGAGTATGTATTTATGAAGACGGGCCGTATTTTCCTTGTACGATGCCTAGTGTAAGAATTGCAATAATGGTGTAAAGTATGAAAGTAGTTTGAGACCAGAATGACCAATACCGCACCACGGTAATCAATTCTTTAGGAACAAATGATTTAATCAAATGAAATCTGCTATATATTATGTATATTAATAGTTGCAATGTGGAATTTAAATATTTTTTTATTATGACAGATTTCTACTGTATTTATTTTACAAAGACTGCCTCGTTGGCCGAGTGGTCGCAAGTGCGACTGCCGGGCAAGGGGTCTCGGGTTCGACTCCCGTGTCGGCAAAGTATTATTGGGTTTTTACAAAATTCTCAGTAGTAGCACGGAGTCTGGAATTGTGCCCGGTATATGGCAAGAGCACCCCCTATTACATGGGACTCATAACATAAACAATCAAAAGTGGGTGTTACATTGTACCTCTACAAGTGGCATAATGTGCACCTTTACCTACCCCTTCGGGGATAAAAGGCGTGATGTTATGTTATGTTATTTTATAATCATTATTTCGTTACAGCCTTCTCCAGGGAGGCTGTAACCTTCAAAGAGTTTTTGTAAATCAGTCGAGAGTCAACCCGTTTTAGCACTTAGCAACAGGTTTGAAGATTATTTATTTGATTTGGTTTTGTTTTATTGCAATCTTACCTTTGACATCTAATATAACTTTATCAATTCAATATTTAAATGCCATCTTAAGACATCCATGACTAGTCATTGTACTTACAACAATTCAACTAAGTTCAATATCCTACTGATATTATTGATGCTAAAGTTTAGTTCGTTACTCCTTCACGTAAAAATGGCTGAAGGGATCGGGATGACATTTGGAACAGGGGTAGATTAGTCTAGAATAACATATAGGATATTTTGTAACAAACGGGAACGCGGGCGAAGCCGCTGGTAGTAACTAGTTTAAAAATATGTATAAATTTTACAAGTAAACAAAACGATGACCTATTACCCTAACATCTGTCTCATAACAAAACAGAGAGGTACTTAGTTGTGCGCAAACAATTCTTTTTTTAGCCATCTAATCCGTGATGACTATGTAGAAATAAAATTAGGTATTACCGTATTACCGCCATTTAAATTATCGATAACAGATGTAAAAATAGAATCGATAACTATTCAGTTAGAATTTACGTATGCCCCAAATGTTGTAAACATGATAAAGAAAATAATCAAAGAAGATAAAAAGCTATTTTTACCTCGCTTTGTTTGGATCCTATAAAATGATAAGGTTGTTTAATAGCGTGGGACTTTTTGAGACGTCACTACCTTTTTTTATAGGGTGCTTACCATACGGTAAACGACCAGACGGATCATCCGATGGTAAGCAATCTTTGTCGTCCATGGACACACGGAGCACTAGAGGCGTTACAAGTACGTTACCGGCATTTTGGGGATTAGAAATTTGAGTATTGTCGGATTTAGGAATTGGGTCAGTAATTGGGCCTCTGGTAACCTCACGACGAAATACAACGCAAGCGTTGTTTCACTTCTGTTTTCTGTGAGGCCGTGGTATCACTCCGGTCGAGCCGGCCCATTCGTGCCGAAGCATGGCGCTTCCACACTTAAACCAATTCAAAAAAGTCTAAACACAACTATGGGAAATCCCGTAACGCCGGACGGCACCTAACGCCGGACACTTGTATTATCTCGATAACTAATAACGCGAGCGATTAAATTTTTACTAAAAATCTTAGGTGTCTGCCACTGGGTGACTTCTCCCTAAAATTGAATCGCTCGCGTTATTAGTTATCGAGATAATACAAGTGTCCGGCGTTAGGTGCCGTCTGGTGTTAAGGGACTTCCCCTAAGTACCTATACTTAATCATTCACCATCTCTTGCAATCGCCGTGCACTTTGTTGGCACTCCGACAACTTGTAGGTAAATTATTTTATGAGTTTCTTATGGCAACAGGACATCATTGCAAATCTTTGGTCTATTACTAATCACAGTACTTAAACCGAAAGGCATTATACTTTAAGAGAGTGTCTTTTGTTCAGCAGTGGACGTGTTTCGACTTATATGATATGATCTTGGTGTGGACAATAATGGACTAAAATCAAATAGGCGTAAAGTAAGTAATCTACTTCCTATATAAGAATAGCAAGCGTAATGTGCTGTGTAATTGACAATAAAAGAATAATGTAACTGATTACAGCAATCACGCATTGTTGGTCGTGGCCAGTGTGGTCGAAATAAGTACCTAAGCAA